TCTAACAGCATCAAGGCTGTTCTGGAACCCCTGAAGCTGAAAGAAAAGCTAATCGCTCAGACCTATGACGGGGCGGCCGTCATGAGCGGTAACGTGCGCGGGGTACAGACGGTGATGAAGGAGACGTACCCAAACGCTCAGTTTGTTCACTGCTACGCCCACCAACTGAACCTGACCCTGCAGCAACTGTGTTCAGCAAGGAGGAGCATCCTGAAGGTGTTTTTTGCAGATCTAACTGCTTTTTCCACTTTTTTCTCCGGTGCTCCAAAACGTGTTGCAGCTCTTGCAGAGGCAACACAGAGACGCATCCCACGGCCACCGGCTGTGAGATGGAACTTTAAAAGCAGAACTGTGAACGCGGTTTGGGAGACCCGAGATGCACTACTTCAGTGTATGAAGCATATATATACGCGCACAACCAGGATGGGATGCGGTCACCATAAGTGAGGCATACGGCCTGTCAAAGAAACTGCGGGACCGAGCATTTATGCAGCTCCTGGAGTTTTTTTCGTTGCTTATGCCAGAAGTGGATGTTCTATACAACACTCTGCAAAAACGAAGCATCGATGCACCTGGGATCAACAGCGCGCTCTGCCGTTTCAAGGAAAATGTTCAGAAAATGAGGCAGAAAACTGATGCATTGGCCGCCACTGCTCATGATGGAACAGACGAGCCAGGCCGACGAGTCAGCAGCACAGCGCCGGTGATGAAGGAGGCTTGTGACACAGTCATCTCACAGGTGGAACAGAGGTTCTCACAGAGTGACCATTTGATCGCTGCAAAGCTTGTTGACAGCTCATTCTTCCCACATCATGTCCTGTCATTTCCTACACCTGAGCTTGACTGCGCCGTGAAACTGTGGCCTGCGTTGGGAAACAAGGAGAAGTTGAAGTCTGAGCTGACCACGCTCTACCGCCACAGTGAGCTTCACACTGGAAACACTGCCCTGTCTCTGTTGAAATCCATTCACGAGAACAACTTGGAGGAAACGTTTGCTGAGACTGTTATTTTGGTCAAAATAATAGTGACAACTCCGATGACGACATCCGAGTCAGAGAGGAACTTTTCCACCCTCAAAAGGATAAAGACTTTCACTCGCAACACCATGGGACAGCCGCGACTTAACGCATTGGCCATGCTTTCAATTGAAAGCCAGTTGATCCAGCAACTACAGGACTTCATCCCCAAAGTGATAGACACATTCTGTCAGAGGAAGGACCGCCGTGCCGCTTTTATTTTCAAGTGAGCCTTCAGCTTTGGTAAGTTCATTTATGTCATATATTTTGTTGATCTTCTGTGTTTTGCCTCTGGTGGATCGATTGATATTGTGACCTCGGTGATGAGTGTCTGTGTTTTCCTTATATTTACAGTCTATGGTGTTTTAATGCTAAAGCATTACGGTTGTTGTTATTGTTAAGAATTACTTTGTGATGGTGACCTTTACTCCATGTATGAAGGTGCATTACTATGACATCCCCACACTGTGTACGTAAATGTATGCGCTCACAGTGTTGCTCCTGTGGTCTTCAGTATGTCATTTGACACTCCCCCTCTCTCTCTCCTCCCCCCCTCTCTCTGCCCCCCCTCTCTCTCTCCTCCCTCTCTCTGTCCCCCCCCCCTCTCTCTCTCTCTCTCCCCCGACCTCTTTCTGCCCCCCCAGTTTTGTACACCTAGAAACGCCACTGGATAGATAGATAGATAGATATAGATAGATAGATAGATAGATAGATAGATATATGCCAGAAAAGGCATATTTTAAGATGGCTTTAAAAGCCTTTTTAAAGTTTCCAGCTGTTTTGTGTTTATGCTATAAGCTAAGCTAACATGCTTTTGGCTTCAGATACATACCTTTTTTTTTACACATGTAAAAGTGCTATCATGGTTTGCAGAAAGTATATATAAAGATATAATTCCTTAGTCTGCTTGACAGGCATAATGTAGTACTAGCAGAGGAGTACCATTTAATTGACCACGATGTGAAGTCCTCCGGGGGGTATTTAATCTTTGATCTGTAGATCTCAGCACTGTGTAATGGGGTTGCTATCGTGGTGGGCTTTCTTGGCAGCGATGAAACTACTCAAACTCTCTCTGCAGTGTGATGGGGATCTGTGCTGAGCAGACCTCCTTCAGGGCCCCAGCTGTGAGTCGAACAGGTTTTTTTAGAAGACATTAGGTGGATAAATGAGAGCCGTAATGGTGTATTAAACACCAGTGTTGAGGCACTCGTATCATAACCCACTGATACCTTTATGTCTTCCTGCAAAGACATAAAGGTATCTCTGCAGGAGGCATTTGGGCCCACACACTGTAGTGCTGTTGGTGGCAGGCACTGCAGCACTTTAGGGAAAACATAAAAACCACTGGTGAGCGCTGGAGTATGTATGCGAGACACGTAGTTCCCACTGAGAGAAAGAGAGGCAGAGTGGTAGTGAGTGTCAGAGAGAATAAGAGCAAAGTAAGGCCACTACCATCCCTTCAATACAATATCACCAGATCTGACAGCAGAGTTTCCTCATGAAGACTCGTTCTGGTTTCAGAGGGTTATTTGAGTCCTTCAGCCATGTGAGCAGATCTACAGCTGTGTGTGCATTAGTGCATGTGTGTATGCATCTATTTAAGTAAGTGAGTAGTCCTTAATGGGAAACTCCATGATTAACCTTTCGCTTGTTCCCTTGTGCCATTTTGTGTGTGTTAACTCAGAGGACCTCTTACAATGTCAGATGTTATTGCCTTCAATTTCCCTTGAAGAAGACCTGTCATCATCAATCGCACCCCCCCCCCCCCCCACACACACACACACACACACACACACACACACACACACACACACACACACACACACACACACACACACACACACACACACACACACACACACACACACACACACACACACACATTGTCTCTCTCCCAATGACGTCACAGCTTGGTCTGGTCATAAATCACCGCTAGCTGTAGCTTTGTCCTATTAGAGCAAGGATAAAAACCTAATTATGCTTGATCAAGAAGAACACTGCAGAGACAGAGAGCTGCGAGAGAGGAGAGGTAATAAAAGGAAGGACAGAGTTAGTCAGAGAGATGAGATGAGTACAATCCAGGATGAGATGGGGGGCAGTAAAAGGAAGGGAAAGCAGGTTAAAAATAACAGGAAAGAAGTTTAAGGAATAAGGGCAGGAGAAAAGGAGAGGACAAAATCTAATTCCCTTCTTTATCTTTCTTTTCGACGAGTGCAGCTGATGCGGTATTGTCATAAATCACAGCTCTCTCTCCCCTACAGACACACCCTCACCCATGCATCTGCTCTGTGGTATCCATGCGTATGTTCATCTCTTAACCTCTGCTTCGCACAGCCTGCAGCCACTCACAGCCATTAGATGATTGATTCCCATAGCAGAGAAAACTAGCACCTCAACCCACAGTAACAGGGAAGCCTTACATTGTCTAACCTGTAGTCGGGAGCTTCGCATAAAGTCACATTGCCAAGCTTGTTATATGCCAAACTTAATCCTGTTACGGCCCCTTTACTTGATACAACTTTTACACAACTCATGATTGTCCTGTTTTCCTTTTCTGTAGAAAGCACAAGCCTTGAAAGCTAGGTATTACTATATTTTCTGACCGATACACTCACCATAGTGTGGTATGATGGCCCAGGCCATAGCGGAGGCATATATCTCTCCGATCATCCAGAACATACACAACCAGCTGAGGTGCTCTCCTCTTTTCTCCCTGGACAACACCTCTGAAAAGAAGGAGAAAACGATGGGCACAGCACCTCCTATCCTGCAAGAACCAGAGAACATGGGAAAATTAGTGGGAGTAAGGCAGAAACCAGGACAGAAAGTTAACTTAATTAGTCTTTATTTATTCCCCTTTGCATTCATGATTGTGACCTATTTGTGGTCAAGCATGACAAATCAAACACTGCCAAAACAATATTGTAATTGGATTAAATGTGAAAAATTGTTATTCAGCGTTTAAAGTGTTTTCTGGATTGTTTTCCATTTTAATAGAAAAAAACAGAGGCTTCATTGCTAAATCATCAAAGGAGACCAAGTCAGCAACATTTAAGCACGACTAAGCATATTTCTCTCCTCGAACTTAATACAAATAACATCCTCAGAGCCAGTTTCTCATAATTCAGAGGCGCAGGTCGTATTGGCAGTTTGAACAACCTTTTCAATTACTCTGGAGGTCTCTAGGGAACGGCACAGATGCAATTACTGAATTAGCTCTTAAAGGGACAGTTACTCTGTCAAAGAAGAGGATATGATAAATCACCATCTCCACCATGTTTTAATGTAGTAAGAGGGTACACAGTCTGTCTCTGGTGGAATTTTCATCATTACACACTCAGACACAATCTGGTTATTTAACAGATTATACGAAGATTGAAAAACTGTATATTGAAATGTCTTGTCTCTGGCTATGACATCTTACACTTTAGCTTGTTATAGCCTTTACTGCTCTGCTCCGCATTGCAGGAATGATAAATGTACATTGTGACAGACAGATAGATCTATAGTAAACCCTCAGAAAAAGAAAAGTCAGAAACTACGAAGTCTTGGCAGTATAAGGAAAACTAGATAGACAGGCCTACAGTATATAAACACTCCTAGTTTCTGTCCAATCACTGCTTTAGCCCTGATGCACATTTGAACATACAGTATGCTGTAGATATTCAGATAATGCAACCATAGCGTTCCCACAGAAGGAGATTTTTTGAGCTGCCTTAGTGTAAATATTTGACCTGATATTTCAGGAATGAATTAAACTTGCCGTCCTCATCAACACATGAGGACTTTTTCCAGAAACTTACCCAAAGCCTGCAAAGATACGACAAACAAGGAACAAGCCGTATCCCTGGACAAAAGAGGACAGGAAGGCGAAGAAGCCGTTGGTGGACATGCAGATGAGGAGGCACTGTCTGCGGCCCACTTTGTCAGACATTCCTCCCCAGAAGAACGCTCCAACCATCATCCCCAGGTAAACCACACTGCCTGGAAAATAGGAGGGGAGAAGGATATGGTTTGTATTTGCCTTGAAATACAATACCTCACATGTCTTCTTGTGCATATGTTTATGAGGTTGTATGTTTTGGTATTGCCAATGTTTAGGAAGTTTCTTATTGGTCACTTAATGAGGATTATCTGAGTGCCAGTCTTCTCGATTTATCTGAATCACCTCCTGCACTTGTCTGTGTGATTTGCTAGATTATCTTAACAAAGCTCTTTGGGGACATCATTAATTCTGCAATACATGATATTTGTTTGGCCAACAGGGAGCAAGACAAACAAACTGTGAACACAGCACTGATATATTATTACCATGAAAAATGTAGCAAACATCTGATTATCTATATATCGAGCATCATAAATATTATTTTGGAGTCATGTTACTGGACACCTCACATATGCCCAATATGTCTCTTTGTTACAGTTATGTAAAATGTTGATTATAAATACTTTAACATGGTTCAGAAAGTTCTCTGCTGCAGCTAATTTACCTTTACCTTTTTACACTTGTATCATATTCACCAAAAATATGATTCTCATTTAAGTGAATATAGGAATAAAACATTAATGTCTCCCTCTAAGTAGTAAAGTGTAAGTAGTACTGACTCTTAGCCAATAACTATTTTAGGAAATGTGTCCTCTAAATGTGCCGCTGCTGGCAAACGGTGAAGTGTCCAACTAAAAAATTGAGCAACATTAAGTTTGCGCCGCTGAATTTGAACCAGGCAATTAGTTCAATGACATATGGGATGTGATGATACACTTATAGATGGGGATGCCATTTTAAAAAGAGAGAAATAGACTGCTCTTAGATGTAATTGCTATATCAGTCTAAATTATTTAAACACACACATTCCCAAAATTACATAGACCTATAAATCTGAGAAAATTAGATTACTGTACAATTTCTAAATGAATATTAGGGGTCCTGCTACAGTAGATGCTACCAATTGGAGCACTGCCACGGACTATAGACAATGAACCTGATTGAAAACCCTAGGGCCCCGGTAACACTCTCTCACGTTGACAAGTAAATACAGTGTGTAAAACAGGCTCTGATCAATGGGGAGACAAATGTGAACGATAATGCAGGCTGACTTCACAAAGGGGCACTCGGCTGTCTTTTAATTTCTCTCATCACAAATGGGATCAATGCTCCAACAAAACAACATTGATTTATCTTACTGATCATCATGATTGTACTCTGTGGAGAGCACTCCATCATTACTGCTTTAGTCTGTGTGGCACTGCGTGGTGGTGAGCATCCTTCATGGACATGCATCGTCTGCTTAACACTTTCTATAACACCCATGTCTTCAATGCATTATAAATATGCCTTTAACACACTTTAATCTACTTACAGCACACAGTATAATTATAGTTGTAAAAACACAATATACTTAATGATTTATATCTCGTGCTCTCATTGGTCATGTGCGCGTTCATGTGTGTTGGAGGAGGGGCTCTGTAAGGAAGTGCCAGATTTTCTCCGGTTGTGTATTTTCAAATTGGAGCGCACTCGAGCTGGTTTCTCCAAAATTACCTACCCCACCTTTAAAGCAAACAAAGTAACTTATAATCACAATGTAATGTATTATAACTATAGGATGAGTATAACACTATGAGCATTGCAACAACAACAAAAATTGTGTTTAGAAATGTCGATGTAGTATTACCATTGTGACACTTGTCCTTCTAATAATGCATTACAGACATGGCTGGAATATAAAAAATGTATGTTTTGAAGTTGCTCTTCCTTGATAATATTAAAGCAATGTTTTGTCTGCATCCATATCCAGACAAATACAGACACATACTCCTGGTTAAGAGAGGATATTTGTATTCATAGTTCCCAACACAAAGAAGAGAATGTAAAAGTTGCAGTCATATATTTAGTGATATGCCTCAGCCGTAGGGACACTTTGTTCATCCCATTACAATAATCTTAATAGCGAGATGCATTTCCTTTCTAATGTTTGCAGTCAGGTCTCTGCTCCTCTGCTGTGAGCAGATATCTGTTGGACTCTCTCGCTTCAGGGGTCAAAACCCGGCTATCTGTCACATTTGGCAGCCATCTACTGTAGATACTTGCCCGAAGGTACCATAAATTCAATTCTAAATGTAACGGGAGTCTTCAGTTCATTTCTGCTTCATTAAGAATAGGATAGATACACAGGGCAGAGGGAAACACCCACTGGCCACCCATTTAATTGTCATGCATCCAAACATCCAGAGGCTTTTTTATTTAGTTTCAGCACTCAACTTTCCATACCAAACAATAAATAGTTTTTTTGGTTTGTGTCACTCAGAGAAACTAGTACAACAGACAGAACAAAAAGAACGTCAGATTTCTGTGTTTTTAATGCCCTTAACAAACAGAGCAATAAAACAGTTAACTACATCCCTCACAGGACGGTCCATTATTACGTAATGAATTTATTGACGTTCTGTCAGACTTGCTGCACATGACGTCAGCAGTGCCCGCACCAGCAGAGAGGAAAGAACAAAAGTGTGATAAAATCCCAAAATAGCACAGACTTATGAGGTCAGTCTCATCACCAAAACACCAAAAGGTAGTTTGTGTGGCATTAAGCTGTCATGTCATAAAGTTACATGTTTCATAACCTTGTGTCTTTTTCCCCAAGAGGAATTTCTTTGTCATGTGATAATGAGTCACAGTTCACCTTCAGTGTGATGTCAGAATGATGCCGTCACATTTTATGAAGCTTTTGGACTGGAACCAAGCAGTCACTACACTGCAGCAAAACCTGAGGTTAAAAAGCCCTTCAAAGTCACACTGATGAAATGGACGCACACTGATGATGAGACATTCTACACAAACCTATTATTATTATTATTATTAGCAGCTAGGTTTTTCTGTAAAACATGCTACCCTACCCCTACCCCTCACACCAGATACTGACTGGTTTTCGGACCCCCCCCCCAGACCCCCCCCAATAAAGCCAAACCGCACGTTTCAGTGTGGCCTTTTATTGTGGCCATTCTAAGGCACACCTGTGCAATAATCATGCTGTCTAATCAGCATCTTGATATGCCACACCTGTGAGGTGGGATGGATTATCTCGGCAAAGGAGAAGTGCTCACTATCACAGATTTTTTCAGATTTGTGAACAATATTTGAGATAAATGGTTATTTTGTGTAATGTTTTAGATCTTTGAGTTCATCTCATGAAAAATGGGAGCAAAAACAAAAGTGTTGCGTTTATATTTTTGTTCAGTGTATGTTCAGTATACATCACCACTGTAACAAAAAGTGTGCATGTGGTGTAATTTTGTTCTGTGCTTCTAGTGCAGGGGTGGGGAACCTCTGGCCTCCGGGCCGTATACGGTCCGCGAGACCATTCGATACGGCCCTCGAGGTAATTTATAAACACACGCAAAAAAAATAAAATAAAGAAATCTAGACCGCAAAAAAAATAAACAAGCGACAGCCTGTTTTTCCTGGCCAAGGTCAGGGTCCTTGAACACAACACGAGCCTTACGGCCCGTCTACACTACAGGCGTAAAAAAATGCTTTCAACGCTTCGCCTATTCATTTGAATAGGGTGACGTAGGATATTTTCAAACTTCACCGAACTGCATTGTGGGTAGCATGGCAAGGCGTTGCAAGCATCGCGAGCGTCTATCGGCGTCAAAAGTTGAACAATGTTCAACTTTTGAGGCTCGATGCTTGCTCGAAGCTGGCGTCAGCCAATGAAATCCCGTGTATGCAAATCTGCCAGTACAAGCGAGCCAATCAAACCGCGTGTATGCTGGGAGAGACTACGCAGGTCATTTCCTCATATTCAAAAAAATGGAGGGAAAATTCATTATAGCGGTAGTGAATCACCCGGTGCTGTATGATCAGTCTCTGTTCATCTACCGGGATACAAACCGGAGGAGGGGGGTGGCAGAGACAGTGGATGAAACTGGTAGGTTTTCGCCTGTTTGGGGATTTTATATCCAGTTTACTTCGTTTTAAAATTGCTATTGCTTTGTATGTCGGGGGCGGGAGATTCATGTGATTGGTTGTTGGTCGCGTTGCTCGCAAAAAATCGCCAAGCCTCAGACACGCCCAGCTTCAAGCTTTTTCGACGCCTGTAGTGTAGACGGGCCGTTACGGCCCGTCTACACTACAACGTGTGTAACAACTACACGTGATAACGTGTCATCACGTGGTATATTTCTCGTCTGACAGGGGTGCAGTTCTGACGGAGAGCACCAGAACGCCACTCCGGCACATGCCACAGTTTTTACGTGGCTGTGTCTTTAGTTGTAATCCCAGTGGCGATCTGTTCATCTGTCATACTGATCATACAGTCAATAGCTTTGTTGTTATTAACATCTGGTTAGCTAGCTATGCTAACGAATATAAGAAGCTTTTTCTACAACCAGTGAGGTAAAGGCACATCTTTATATGATCATTATAGTTATACAAAAATAAGAGAATAAAGTAAACAGGTATAAAATACTATATGACAGTAAAAAAAAAAAGTTGTTATTAATAAACAAGAATATAGTTTAAAAGGGGAGTGATTTGTAAAATATCCATAAAGCAAAAAATAATCTGGATGTTGAGAGATGTATCCATAGATCTCTTAATTGTGCTCTCAAAGTGCACCAGATTGATGCTTTTAACTTAAAAAAATCTTCCCGGGGGAGCATGTCCCCGACCCCCTAGAGGAGGTGAGGTCCACCCCCTACTTAAATCATGTTCACATGGATAGGATACTAAATACATTTGCACACATCTTGTGTCCATATATTTCTGTTTTGGTGGTCATGCCACAACCGTGCACCTGAATGCATGCATGAGTCAAATATATCTGGATTAAGAGGTTGCTTTTTCTTTGCACAACATGAAAGAAAGGGGAAATGAATGAGCTGTGATTTTTGTTTTTTTAAGCAGAGGTTGAGTTCAATAATTTGTACGGCCCTCAGAGGATGTTGTAAAAATTGAAATGGCCCTTGAGAGGAAAAAGGTT